ATGTAGAGTGCCGTTTTCGGCTCTTCGAAATATGGTGGCTGCGTCGCTGATGTTACACCAATCCCGTATGTTTCTTAGCCAGGAATGTTGTTTTCTTCCTGGGCCTCGCCGTCCCTCTATTTTTCCTTGTAGAATCAGCTTAGGAATGTAATATTTGTCTCCTCTAAGGATATGGTCGAGCTTTGAGACTTCCCTTTCTTTAACTATATTAAGCATTTCTCGTTCATAGCCTGCAGTTCTTAAAACTTCTTCGTTGGTTGCATGTGCGGTCCATGGCACACGTAAGAGTCTCCGGAGAGTCCACATTTCGAAAGCCTCGATGCGGTTCAGGGTTCTAGCCTTGAGTGACCAGGTTTCTGCGCCGTATAGTAAGATAGACCATATGTAGCATTTTACTACCCATAGTCTAAGTGTTAGCGGGAGACGGCGTGCTAATAGGAAGTTTTTAAGTTTAAAAAATGTTGACTTTGCATAATTCGTTCTAAGTTTAACTTCCTCATCGCAGTCCCATCGTTCATTGATCATGGCACCCAGATATTTAAGTCGTGGAACTCGCTCTATAACATTTCCATCCACGGTCAATGCGGTGTTGATTGTAGGCTGGCATCCTATTACCATAAGTTTGGTTTTGGCAGCGTTGATTTTAAGACCGAAACGATTTCCCATGTCCCCTATCTTATTTATTATTTGCTGGAGATCCTCTAAAGTTCGTTAGAGTATCCAACCCTATAGAAGGAGCCTCCCTATAGGAGCCTCCCTATAGGAGCCACCCTATAGAAGTTAAAATATTTTCCGGAAATACATCCTGGTACATACTTTAGGTTTGCACTTAAACAAAATTCTCAAGTTTTTTATTCTAGGAGCTACAGATGCCCGACGCACTATTGCCGGACCCTGTATAATCTGACATTACTGACTTTTAAAAATTTGAAATTGTCAAATTATCTACATTTCTTTCCCTCGCCCATTTCTCTCACTCGGTTTTTCTTATTTCTCTACTCATTTAATTAAGCAAAATATTCTTGTAATATTTTTATTAAATACTTATCTAACATCAACAAAAATAAACAAGAAGATTAACATAATAATTCAAGACATCTTACATTTATTTGTTGAAGGTAAAAATAGTAGACTTCTTTGGCTGAAAACCTACATTTTGGTGTTTTAAAAAAGCGACGGGTTTGTGATATTTTGATATGTCGGTCTTTTCAAAACACAAAACATCCCCCTTTAGAACTTCGTCTGTCATGTTAAGAAATGAAAGTAAATAATAACGCGCCTCTCATGTTTGTTCGCACTCAAAAAATGTCAATTAATGCCTGTATATATCTTTAATATATATTTTAAATCTACATTTTTTTAATTGTAAAGTAATATATTACATTTAAATGGAATATATTACATAACAATTATGTCAATTAAAGGATTACAAGCTTGTTTTCTAACATTTTTTAAATAAAACGAATTATAAAATTTCAATATATGTATCTATATTTGTATATCTATATCTAATCCAAACGCAATATTTCTATTTCACAAATAAACATATCCGACAACACTAAAATAACTGAAACTTCCGCGGCTGACAACGAAAACTGAAAAATATAACGGCACTTTTTGTTTTGGACCTGCATATCAACATTACGCTGTACTATTATGTGTTTGTTGTTGAAATAATATAAAATATCTAATTATAACTTGTAAATTTTAATATTTCAACATGATTTTAACTACTTTTGACAATAACTAACTCATGGCTGGGAAACTTAAATGGAAATGACAGTCCATTAAAAATAGTTTTTCCTCCAAGATGCAGAGGCGCAAAATATTAAAACTGTCAATATTAACAATGCAAATGTCAATATCTGACAATAATAAAATTTGATTTTTAACTGTCACTCAGAGACGCTTTTGTTGTGATTTTACGGTTTGATTTCGTTTTGATTTGTCGAATTATTGTAAATTAATTTTTATTCCTTCAGATTTTTTGCCAGTATTCTGTTTTAGACAATGTTTTTTAAAAATGGTGGGACAATTTGTGTTTTGTAATAACTCTTAATTATTTTTTCATGGAGTTTAATTGTTGTACACCTGGTTTCCGAAGGATACAATGGTAAGTAAATTAAACATATCTACTTAACAGTTATAGATTTTTTAAATTAGTACTGCTAATAAATGCTACTGCAGAGCAGTTATTTAAATTTTTTTACGGTGCATGTAAGGAATTAAGGACGCGCGTTTTATATTAGCATGATCAGCAGATGATTACATCTGATTTAATTTGTTTTTATTATTTCAGGTCCCAAACAGAAACAAACTGGGAATCTTGCCTACACCAAAATTATATACCTAGCCGTTTCCAATTCACTTCAAAGGGAGGAAAATTATGTAAAACTGCCTGCTATTTGCTGAAAACCGCCAAAGATTAAATTATAACTGTAACAACTTAATATATGCTATTTCTAGTATTTTTAATATATTTTTTAATTAATATCCGACATATAAGAACACTTTGTATGCTTTTAATTCAGTTGATTATCGTTTATAATATGTTCGACCTAATTAAAAGCACACAAAGTGTTCTTACATGTATGTCTAAATATATTTTAAATTAACTAAAACAACCCCCCTTCCCCGCACCCCTCTCTTCCATTAGTATTTCTTCCTCCGTCTACCAGAGGCGCCCTTGTATAATAAAATTGAAATGTATTATAAGTTGCCTATCTATTTAATAGTATAAGTCTTTTATCTATGAACTAACTTTTTGTTATCAAGATGACATGGCAACTGACATATATGTCATAATATTTCAATCTTAAATATATATGTAATATAATTTAAATAATTACTATAATGCAAATTTATACTAAGAAAACATTTATACATTCACAAAATACAACAAAGTCTAATAATATAGTTTGAAAACAATGAATATTGAATTAAAATTGAAAAAGTTAAACGCGACCCCTGGTGTCAAAATTAGATGATTAAATTTTCGCAATTTTTACACCATTTGATGACCGGTGGCGCCTCTAGTGTTTGTTCGGGCGGTTGGTCTTTTACTCCCGCTTATGGCCATTAAAGAAAAAGTTCTAAAGGGGGATGTTTTGTGGCCAAAATTTGCGAGGAATGTCATTTTGGCCTTTGATTATCACCCGTAAAGAAAAATTTTGGTTAGAAATCAAAAGTTTATTGTTAATTGCTAAATATTAGTATTTCTCTATGGATACAACAGACTACCGCAAGCGGTTGCTAGGATATTTTATATAGTTTTAAATGTATTTTTTAGACATTGTGAATACAATAAAATTGTGAATACAATGAATTGTGAAAAACTAAAAAGTATAAAGTGTAATTGAAACCACTAATTTATTCCACGAATTGGGAGGTTCTGAATGAAGCTTAAGGCTTTTGTTTAATTTGACAAAGTTTTAAATTACAAAAATGCATAACGGGCACGCTAACCGTAGGTACGGGGTGGCTCGAATTCAACGCTCATCATTGGGATTTCGGAAACCGTAAAAAATACAGGATCGGTTAAATGGAGGCAAAGTTGCGCAATTTAATGCTCAATAAAATGCCGTATTGCATTGTGAAAAATTCAGAATACTTCCGAATATTCGAAAAAAAAACGGAATTTTCAAATTTGTTTTCTATTGTTTCCTGGCTTTATTTGTTAAGATAACTTAAAATGAAAAACACATTTTTCATGGCTTTTTATGCTCTATAACTCTGTGTGATTAAATATTGACTCTGACGTTTCGGCTTCTGGCGACCATCATCAACTTAATTTTTTTAAATACGAACCTGATTTTTTATTCAATTTAATTAAATCCTTTCATCACTCTTAAAACACTTATATAGTCACTTTGATATTTGCCGACGTTTCGTACAGAAAATTCCATCACCAGGATATTTTATGCAAAAAAAATGCAGTACGGCATTTTATTGAGCATCAAATTGCACAACTTTGCCTCTATTGAACCGATCCTGTATCTCTTACGGTTTCCGAAATCCCAATTATGAGCGTCGAATTCGAGCCACCCTGTACAGGGTGGGTCAAATTCGACGCTTTTAAATGGAAACACCCTTTTCTATAGGAGATAGACGAAAACTAATATCGGTGTCTGGAGCTCAATTTTTGTCAAAAATATGATTTTTGACAAAAATTTCCATAGTAAAAAAGTTACAGCGATTTGTTAAAAATGCACATTTTTGAAAAACACCCCGTAACTCCGAAACGGTAACAGATATCGATATGCGGTTTTCACCATCATGTTTTTGACAAAAATTCAGCTCCAGACACCGATGTTAGTTTTTGTCTATCTCTTATAGAAAAGGGTGTTTCAATTTAAAAGCGTCGAATTTGACCCACCCTGTACGTAGTAATGTATACAGCAAAACAAATCGCATTCAATCATAGGTTGACAACTTAAAGTATATTGACATTTGACTGGTTTTGCATAGTTACTTGTCCAGTTTTAATTTTAAAAAATGCAGTTTTTCAGCTGCATTTTAACAAACTTTTTTTCTTACTTTTTTTTAAGCACTGCACTTTCTTACAAACAAAACGGCTTGTCCAAAATTATATTATTGTTGATTTTTTATGTAGGTACGTATGCATACAACATGCATACAACGACGATGCACAACCCGGTATATTATTGAAAAAAGGAATATATTTAAGATCAAATTATTGTATCTACATCAACGCTTCAACCGCTGTTTTAGAGATTCAATAATTTGGTAAGAAATAAAGTACACATTCATTTTTTTCCATATAACCGTATGATCGACAAAAACGGCCTCCAGTTGGCTTGAAATGACGATCAATGACACTTTTTTTGGATTGAATGTATTATAATGATAAAAAACAGTAATCGTTAATAGTAGCAATAGATTATAAACTCAAATTTAAACATACGTAAATATATTAAGTGTAGTTACCAAAACTTATATGACACACCACCCTCACATTGCACCACCATCGACCTACTCACCCAGAATCAACAAAACACTAACACCCCTCATTGCGACAAGTTATTCGCTGGTACGAAGACGAAGAACTAAACTATCTGAAGATGCTTCGAGAAGATGTTTCGTCAGGTGAAAGGATATACGACGTAGCATCGTCCTCAGAGTGTGTTCCTCTGGTAGGGGCACACAAGGATGCCAGTCGACCGTATATCAACCGTCGAAATATGTGAATATGCATTTTTGAAATCTTTATCAACAGTGTACTGCACCAGTGCGTCAAGCTGTCGCGTCGGGTTAATATAACACCCTTGTATATATATTTTTAAAGTAGATCAACCTAAGACGTTTATGGACTAAGACTACTAGATGGCAGGACCGGTTTCCCTACAGAAATATTTTTTTTGTTACTCTGAATTTTGAAGCTACCAATAAAAACAGAGAAAATAAAAATCGATAATTTTCGAACTGTGCCAATTGGTTACTAATCGACCAGATACTTTTTGTCTATTAGATATGCTATAAAAGCTGGCAATTATACAATTCGACCATTGTAAATACCCGACAAATTCTTCAACGCGGACCATTCCGATGTTTCTCACTGATAAGAAATAAAAATGTTTGTTTAGATAATTTTCTTTCTGAATGCACATTTTAAAGTATTTTATATTCTTTGTCCCCTTGACCTATTATCCTGGTCGCACGTATGGAAGTTCTGTTTCTTCTAGTTTTAGAAAATGTTCTTATTTCTTTTTTCTTTGCAGTTGTAGGGTAAAATTAGATTAAAAAAAATTAAGTTTAATAAGTTTAATTATAGTGTTTAGTGTAGCATGTAAGTGTAGTCTACCAAAAATAGTTTAGTAGTGTTTTTATAGTTTATTTTGTAGTTAAGTAGTAGGTGAAGGGATAATTTTGTTATTTTTTCTTTTTGTTTGATAAATTAGTAATCAAATTGATAGTTTGTTCAGTGTAGAATACAAGAATAAGTAGTTGTGTAGTATTTTTAAGAGATTATATTCGTTTATTTTGTAGTTGAGTAGTAGCTGAAGGGGTATTTGGGTATTTCTTCTTTTTGTTTTTCTTGTAATTGTAATAGTACTACTAATTGTAGTCTATTAAGTATTGTGATAGATACACTGTATCTTCCTTAAACTTCGTTGAAAAGTGCGTTATCATATATAATCTTGGTTTTCTGGTAGCAGAATATGCGAAAAAAAATTGATCAAATTTATTTGAAATTAAATTAATCTAGTCTTATTAATCAAATTAAACTAGTCAAATAATAATAATAGTTAGTTTCAAAATACTATACAGGGTGAGTTTCCTACGATGTTCTCTATGGGTATCTCGGAAACTACTGGAAATAGAGAGTGGGTTAATGGGGAAAGAATTGCAGTTTTGTGGGGTCATAAATATGCGCCTTTCGGATTTTTGAAAAAGTTTATCGCTTACTAGATATTTCGAAAAAAACAAATTTTGGCTATTTTAAAACTTGTCCCTAATTCCATTATAATATATTTTAGACAAAAAGTTTTCAGATACAAGTTGTAGATAATTACATACCTAATGAGTTTGTGTTTTCTGATTTTTTCTAAAGCCTGTAATTTTTGACCATAGTTGGCCATGACTTCATAAAAATCACCATTTTTAAGCTTTTCAGCGATATAGGTATATGTGTTTTTATCGAAAAATTACAGTTAGATACAGAGTTATAGTTATAGCCAATTCTTTTCTTACTTGGCTAATTTCACTTAATGGGCATGGTATTCTTACTCTGTTATGATTTATAACATAAAAACACAGAATATATTATTAAACGGTTCTTTACGATTTACATTATGCAAACTAAAACTTCATATCACTACCCCATACACTTAAGTTATTTTAGAAAATGTTCTCCCGTACCGCCACTTTGAGGGGGCCCATGCAATTGGTCCACCATCCACCTCTTCCGATCCCTGCGTTTGCATAATTGTGCTATAAATAATTTTTAACATTTCTTTCATTACGGGGGGGGGATTTTCATAATGAAAGTCATATTGCAACCACCCTATTGATGTTCGACTATCTAAATTTAACTTTTCTAACATATCTTGAAAACCGTTCTCTTAAAAACGTAAATAACGTTCACGACGTTAGGAGGACGCAATCTCATTAAGGATGCGATTATCTACAACTTTTATCTGAAAACTTTTTTATTAAAATAGACTATAATGGAATTAGGGACAATTTTTAAAATAGCCAAAGTTTTTTTTTCGAAATATCTAATAATCCATGAACTTTTTCAAAAATCTGAAAGCGCATATTTATATGACCTCACAAAACTGCAATTCTTTCCCCATTTAACCGACTCTCTATCTGCAGTAGTTTTCGAGAAACCTATAGAGAACGTCGTAGAAAACACCCTGTGTATTGAAAATACTGAAGACCATAATATGAAACAGAATAAAAAATAAATTTTGCATTATCTAATTAAATTATTTTCCTGATACATTTTTTTAATGAAAATGTACTTGAATTATTTCAGTTAGATGTATCCTGCTTTTAGAAAGTTTTATGATTTAACGGGATTTGTGTGTGAGTTAAAATAATGAAATTTTTAGTTTTTATAATTCTTCACACATACAAAGTTAAAGCAAACTTGATTTTAAAACTCTGGCCATATTTTACATTAATAAAGATTTAATTGGTGTAATAAAGATTTACATGGTGTATTAAGTACAATATATTTATTTTAATGTCATATAATATTGAAGCAAGTTTTTCAAAAAAAAAATATCGTAAAATTCGTTAAACAATCAATTTAGAATAAAATAATCTAAGAATGAAATGATTCTTTAATAAACCTGCATTAAATCAAATTAAAATAGGTAGGTAATTTGTTTTGAATATTAATTATCAGCAATTAACATTATCATAAATTATAAATAATGTACCAACATATCGAAATAATAATTTCTTTGTTAATACGGTTTAGAATTCTTAAAATAACAGGCAAAAATAATCCACAATTTACAATAAAATAAAAGTTTCGTTTAAATTTATTAATCAGCTGATCACTATTAAAACCCGGGCTATATTATTACATTACTCTGAGGAAAATAACGAAAATAATCGATATTTTTGACTCCGCCCCGAAAGGTTCACGATTTGTCCTCCAGTTGGCAGCACATTTTGTCTAGTCGGTTGGGCAACTTTAAGAATATATAAACAAGGATAACACTCACCATAGGAATTTTATTTATGTGCTAGAGCTAAAATGTATGCTCGGACATCAAGTCTAAACGGCGCATTGTGGTTCCGCCTGGGATCATGGAGAAACCAATGTCAATTTTATTTTGACCTTAAATTTTTCAATACATTTTTAGCCGACCATACCAACAGGTATGGTAGGCTATTAAGATCGGCAATTTTTTTTTTAATTTTACTCAAAATGAGTTATTTGGGTTTTAAATGACCTAAATATAAAATATTTTCATGGTGTCTGTCTGTCCGTCTGTCTGTAACACGACAACTCAAAAACCGCTAAACCGATTTTAACCAAATTTGGCACAAAATACTGTGGCACACGAGAATCTGGCCTTTAGTTCTTGGTGGGGGTGGGGGGTTGGTAAGGGGGTATGGCGGATAGGGGAAATAAACGCGGGCCAAAATTGGAAAAATTCCTTTACTTTGAAACTAAAAGAACTGCCTACCAACTTTTTATTAACATATTTTAGTATGGGCGCCAATTTTTTAGAATCACGGGAATTTTTCAAATTTAACTGGCAAAATCTTGTTCTTCACGCATTTATTAGATTGTTCGTTAAAGTGTAAATTGTGTAATATTTAATTTTATCATTTTTAATTAAGTAGGTATACAGGATGTCCCAGGCTGAGCGTTAATTAGAAGTTTCTAGAAAACTAAAATATCTAGATCTCGGATTTTTTACATATCATTATTTCACAACGAGATCTATCGATTAAAAACATTTTCAACATGGCGACACTTCCGGAAATATTGAAAGTTGACAGCAACTTTCTTATTTTAAATGGGTACACCCATTTTTTATTTCATACTTAAATTCTCTGTAAAATTTTATGAATTTTGATATACACAAACACTCTATATATACCTAACAATAACCATTTTTGAGAAAAAAAAATCTTTAAAATTTTTGGTGGAAAGATCTGCCTGTCAAAAAAATTTGTACAGGGTGGCGCCTCTCATACGCCGCGAGAGCTCCAAGGAGAACGGTAGTTTATATCGAAATGAAAATTTGGCAGCATATGTAGGTTAACTGAAAGCATTTTATAAAAATATATTGAAATATACAGGGTGTCCCCAAAAAAAGTTACACATCAAAGTTTTTTTTTTCTAATGGAACACGCTATATATTAATTGATTTTCGGATTCTAGGAAAAAAATAATGGTAAGTTTTAAAAAAGAAGCATATACCTAAAATCTAAGGATTTTGACATATTTTACATTTTGTGAAAATGAAGAGTACAATTTAAATTTCGATAAAAGCTACCTAAATTTTAGTTGACCTCGTATAGCCTGATATTTAATTACAGTAACCATTGTATGTTAAACCAAATTGAAATCTGATCCGAAAAGTTATACAGGGGGAGACAAAATTAATATGGAACATTAGTCACTTTTAAAGGTACCAAGTTCCTTTGAAAAAATCTAGGGTGGCTGTGTGATATACCTTTTGTTAATTTAACAAAAATTAAAGATTGTAGAGTAAAATACTCAACGGTAATAAAAAGATGTACGTTTAAAACATATTTTAATTATTACAGAATTAAAACTACAAAATTTTGCTAGATGAATTCAAATGCTCAAACTACTTCCTTTCCTGTTAACTGATAAAATGATTGTCTTAGAAATTTAATTTCAATAAAAACTGTCGTTCTCCTTGGATCCTCCGCGGCGTATGAGAGACGCCACCCAGTCTAGCCTAAACGTTAAATTTAGCGTCAAATTTTCACAAAATGGCAAATATTTAAAAAACGGTAAGATTAAAGTACCGTAAACTTAATCAGATTTATCTTTATTTTAATCGTAGAAACTAAAAATATGTTAATATACAGGTATACAGGGTATTCCATAAAAAATCAACTTTGCTATTTTGTATTTATTTGAGAC